TCAAAAACAAACCTAACATAAACCCCAAACAAGTCTTTTATGCCTTGGTTTCCCCAATGGTCCCAGGACAGAGCTGTCTGGCCATGAGTAGGTGACAAAGGGCCTCTGCAGAGAGGCACTCAAGAGGTGCGAAGTGTCCATCTCTTCCTGTCACCACCCTTTTGGCACCCATGGGATCAGGCCCTAGTCAGCCTGCCAAAGCTGTTCAGAAAGCAGAAAGCACAGAGATGGTGGCAAGAGCTGGTCCCAACGCCCCCCCCTTCCCTGTCTCCAGCCTCAGCAGAGAATGGGGTCAGCCACTCACCTCTAGGGTTTCAGCACGGCTTCTGACGAGGGTATGATGACAAGGGACGAAAGCAAACAACAGGAAGAAAAGCAAGAGCCTTGCCTATGGGATAGGGCCTGCTTTCCAACCTCCATCTCCACCCTGATACAGCACCCCAAGTCCCACTGAGGAGGTGGGTAGGAGGGCAGGGTGACAGGCTGTATGACTAAATCATGACTGTACAATGAAACTGGCCCAGCAGAAGGCTTGGCACAGAGAAGGGACCTCTAGCTTGCACTCTCATCCATGGCAGGTACGAGAGAAGTCAGAGAAGTTCATTTATATGAAGGATGCTATGTCTCTGTTAACAGAAACCAGCCTATTTTATCCTCAATAAGAAAACATGGTTTTGCACACAATCTCTCAATGCTTCCTCGAGTCCTGGTATTCCAGTATAGCACAAAGCCTCCTCCTCCTTCTTCCCCTCCTTCCATTGCCACATCACCCTCCCTCCTCTTCCCCTCATTTCACCCAGATCCTTAACAGGAAAGTATCACTTGGAGATACCACAGGGGACACAAATGTCATGGGGGCTACTCAGGCCAACACCAAGGGGGTGGGGACTTCCAGCTGGCACCATCCAAGGGGATCCCATTTCAGTCCCCAGGGCCAGCTGGACCCAGAAAGGGACAGCCTTTACCCTTCTGGTGGCCAACATGCCACAACACCAATCACTCAACCTGCTACAGTCTCAGATGCAGACTGGCATCCCAATCTGGGGGCCCAGAATGAGGCCCCTAATCACAGATCAGCCCATGTGCACAGTTGGCCACATACTGGAAGAGACACCACCTGGAGAAGGCTAGCCCCAGGTGCGGCTGGTGAATCCTAGGAGTGTATCAAGAGCAACTGTCACTGCTGCTGCTGATTTTGGATGGCATTTTTTAAAGAGTGGCTCATGAACTACCTAGATGAAATTTGTTGGAGCCTGTGTTAAAAATGCAGTTTCTGGGACCTCACCCCAGACCTCCTGAAGTCGAAGCTCTATGGACAAAACCTAGGAAGCAGCATTTTAAATCAATACTCAAGGTTGACCATTAGACACACTAACACTGACAGTCAGTGCTCAGAGACGGTCCCAATAGCAGTCCTATAAGACCATTAACAAGAAGAAAAGAGGAGCCATAAGCTACACTGACTTCCTACATCTCTCCTGTCCCAAGCACAGGTATTTATCCTCATCTGTCCTCTCCTCCAGCAGCAGACTGGTTCTCTGGATCAGAAAGGGGGAACCCAAGCCAGCACCAGGGAACAAGGGCTCCAGCAACTTGACTTTGAGTTTCCCAGGACTCAAAGCCAAAAGGTAACCATGATTGGTTAGGCTTCTTGATCCATTCATTTAACATGTATACTGAGTGTGGATTAGTCACTTTGCTAGTGCTCATCTACACAAAAATTAGAAAACAGATAAGGTCCCTTGCCTCACCTCCTCAGGTCCTCACAAAGAGGAGAGCTTTTCTTACAAAGTAGCTTCAATAGAAATCTCTTCACATAGGGTTTACAGATTAAATAAATAAATATAGCAAGTGCGGTAACAGATTTCATAACACTGTTTCTGGTAGCATCTCTCATTAAGGCCAAGGGCATTACTCCCAGTACCCATCTTAGTGAAAGCAACTGGAATCCAGATAAATGGGCCAATACAGAAGTTTTTTTATGATGCTAATTGTTCCAAGGATAAATCCTAAGGCATGCAGAAGAAAAAAAAAGACCATTTGCCCTTCAACTGTAGCAATATGGGAAAAATGCTTTGGATACAAGTGAAGAGAACAGGATATAAAATGTTATGCTCCACGAGGTGAAAATCTGTATGCATATGAATAAAGATAAGAAGAGAATATGAAGATTTAAAAATAAAAAAGACATAAGGGCTCAGGCTCCTTTGTGGGGAGGGTGCTCTTAAATCTTAAAATAACGATTTATCATTGCTATCACCTGGCCCACTAGCTCCTGCATCCAAGCCTATTTAAATGCCTCCTTCGGCCTAGCAGAGCCAAGCTAGGAACCACGGGCTCTGGTAAGAGCCCCATCTCCACACCTATTGCTGGTTTAAAGCAAATGGAATGACATTATGTGACTATCAGTGACTAGGTAGAGAGGCCCACAAACAAAAAGGTGCTCAAAGAACATTCACGTGAATTCCCTACCTGGCAACCCAGCCACCAATGTGGGTGCTGGAGGCTACAATGACAAGGAATGACAACCCACAAGAAGGCTTCCCATCCATATCTGACCCCCAGAAGTCTAAGTGATTTCTCCCCAGGCCTCCCGGGCCACCTCACCATGAGTGCCAAGGAGAAGCAGCTTTATGCCCTCTTTCTCTCCTTTCAGTTTGCAGCACAGAAAATCACAAATAAGACAGCAATCCAGCAAGGAATCCCAGCAAACAGAGTAAGCCCCTTCAGACCTTCACAGGCTACCCTGGTGGGCCCATGACATTCCCAGACACAGAAATCTAACACCTATGGAGCCCTAGACAGACAGAAAATGATGAGTGAAACCCAGTCCCAGCACCTTTATAAAATATAGAGTGTAAACTGAGAGGCTGAAGGAAAGCCACAGCCTTCACTTCCTAACCCCATCAGCAGCAGCCTAGTGAGGACCTTGACCCAACTTGCTCCAGGGGTTCATATCGCCCATACCAGCCTAGCATGCCCCTTGCTGCCTCTACATACAAGACAACATCCTCCCATTCTCCCACCCCCAGACACTACGGGCATGCACGTTCCTAACTCTTCTTGATGGCATTTGAGTCTATCAGTCAGGAACAAGACTCTGTCCCAAAGTTAACCTGGTATACAAGAGAGTCCCAGTCTTGGCATAACCATCTCAAAAGAGGGGGAGTTGCTGTCTGAAGCATACGATTTCACACAAGAATCCTCTTCTCAAGTTGAAAAAAAGAAATCAGAAATTAAACCTCATCTGGTTTGGGCAGGGAAAGAAAGATACCAGTTGGGAAGGACAGAAAAAAGTGGAAAGGAGGTAAGAAAGGAAAGGGATGCTATCACACAGGGAAGTTCAGGTGGGTAGGGAAGGAGTAGAAGATGAAAGCTCAAGGCAGCTGGCTCCATAAAGTCACCACAATCACTATCTTATGTCCCAGATTTTCAGCTTCCAGTTGTCTCTCCCTCCTCACCCTTGGGTGAGGGGATACTGTTGAGATAAAGAAACCAAAGCACTGCATCACTGACTGAAGACTCCAGACATCATCCCCATTTCTGATACCTGGGCTATGTGTGGGCATATCTTCAACCTGGTGTCCCTGCCTGCACCTTCCATTCTTAGCCAAAGGATATCTGCCAGAGAGCCCAGCCCCCGTATCTCCCCTACCTTAGGGGAGGAGGGCATCTGACCACCCACATATCTCTATAGCAACCACTGCCTTGGACTCAAGGTGCCCAGAGAGAAGGAAAATAAACAAGTCAAGTTTACAGTCAGTGCACTCAGTGAGAGATAGAGGCAGGGATGGGACAGCAAAACAAGCCCTGCTGGTAAAGATAGGAGAGACTCTCCAGCCAGGGGGCAAACACAGTCCTGCTAAACAGGTCCCAGGACAACTGCCAACATGACAGAAGCCCCTGTCATCTCTGTGGAATTTTATAGCTTCTCTGAGTGCTTGGGACATCTATTACATCTCTAGCCCCAGAGATGCTGGCATCATTATTGGCCAAAGCTCACATCTTCCCCAGGGCATCTGTACTGGTTCCTAATATATTTCCAGTATCCTATTGCCCAGCCCTAATTCCTTTCTCTGAGTCTCATAACCTTTATCCCTGGGCTGCATTCTACAGCCCTCAGAGACCTGACCTCTCTGTACTAACCAGACTTATTTGCAGAATGCTTCACACATTGCTGGGTCTACACATATCAGATGAGGTAAGTTTGGCAAACACCCAATAAGAGGTTCACAAAGCATACGTTAGAGGTGTTAAAGATGGGCCCTGACCCTTCCAGCCTCAGGTACTAGGGAGGATCTCACAAGTGAGGCTCCAAGGTCTGGGCCTTCATGCTCCCCACATCCCAAGGCAAGGCAGCTCCTGCCCAGACTGGGCCACTGGGATTTCCAGACCATGAGGCATCATCACTCTCCATCCAGGACAGACTACATCTGCTACTGCACTACCAACTTTGTAATTTGATCAAAAAAAGCAATCAAGTTCATCTGGCAGGATTTGTTCCCGAGAAGCCCTCGCCAGTAGCAGCCTCCCCTGATGTTTACAGATTTTCTTCCCTTGGGAGTCTGTTCTGCCGCCTGGTGGGTAGGGGAGGCTGGATTTGTCAGTGCTGCTCATTTACTGCATCCATCCAAAGTCACCATCGGGGCACAGGGACTAGGACAGGCCTGCAGTGGCCATCACTACTCTAAACAGTGCTCCAAATTAAGAGCTCTCTGTTCCATGCCACCCACTACCCCAGATCCTCCAACTCCCTAGGATCAAACTCCTTTAAGCCTTTAGGGATCACTCCAGTTACCCATGTCTCTTACATCTTCTTCATTCTTTTCTCCCTAAGCATTTTCAATACCTCACACAACTCCTTGTTTAGCTTCAAAGTCCACCAGAAATTTCAACTCATTTTTAAGTGCTAAAACATACTCCCCAATTCCCAGGGTACCTGCAGAAGTCAAAGGCCCTGGAAGGATCCCCAGGGAAAAACCAAGATGGAGAACACTCACCTCGGGCTGACAACTTCTTGGTGTTGATGATTTTTGCTGCATACTCCTGCGTGGAGGTTTTCTTCACACACCTGCGGACCACAGAGAAAGCACCCCTGGAGGGAGAAGGGGGAAAGAACTGGGACACCGAGCAGGGCAGAGTGACACAGACATACTTTAAATCTGAGGACAGTGATGCTCTCACCAGCAGACCTTTAGACACACACACACACACACACACACACACGCCCACCCCAGTGCAGTGACCACCACCAGCCAACATGAGGCAGAAGGATGAAGCCACAGCATGACACTGAACAGATGTGGGTGGAGTACCACCTGGTTCCCACCCCCTCATCTAGTCCCTGGGCAAAGCAACAGCCCCAACCTCAGGCTGTACATCAGGAGCTGGTGGGCGATGCTTCAAACACACACCTGCTGCATCTCACTGATAGCCCTGCAGTCCTGGCCAAGAGAACCAGAAAAGAAAGAGAACCTGCCCTTCTCTCTGCAGTAATAGTTGAGGGTAGAGGAAGGAGAGGTTAAAAGGAAAGTATGATTCCAAGAGAAATCGCCATCGACCAAAGGGGAAAGTGAAGCTCAACCCTTCCCTCCCATACCGGCTTCATCCCACCGCAACCCAGCTCAATTGACAGCCTTTGGGGAAGAGGGCACAGTTCTGAGTCTGACATCAATAGCTCCCCTTCCCCATGATATTTTCCTCTACGTTCCCCGCCAAATGGGATCTCGCATTCCCGGGCTCTGGAAACGTCTAGAGGGGCGAGTAGGGCGGGGGCTGCAGTGGCCCGGCTTCGCGTCGCGGGTGGTGGTGGTGGGGGTTAGGGCTGCAGCAGCGGCCAGCTCAGTGCCGAGGGGAGGGGGATGCTGCGGCTGCAGCGCGCGGCTCCCGGGACCACTGCAGGGATGGGGGGAAGGGCTGGGGGTACTGCAGCACTGCCCAGCTGCGGGGCTGGGATCCTGGAAGCAGCATTAGCGGGGGGGGGGGGGGGGGGCGGGGCCGGGCACCAAACATCCCCCCACACCCGGGCACCGCAGCGGGGTTGGAGCTGCAGGGCTAAGGGAGGGTCTAAAGTGCCCGGCGCGTGGGACCTAAGGGTAGGGTGCAGAGTGAATCTCTGAACAGGGTGGAGACAGGACTGTAGGCAGGCGGGGTCCGGAGGGGGGGCGCCTGAAGGGTGCAGGAGGGGCGGGGCTGGAGAGCGCCCAGGAGCGGTCCGGGGGCTGCAGTCCCCGCGGCAGCGCAGGTTGCAGCAGCCCGGGCAGCTGCTGCAGGGCGCGGAAGGAGCTGAGGGGCAAGGAACCGAGGGTTGGGGGCCCTGGAGTCAGCACGCGGGAAAGCTGGGGGTGGGGCGGATCGAGGGGGCGCTGCAGCGGCCGGTGCAGGGCCGGGGGGCGGGGCGAGGAGCCGCATAGCGCCCGGGCGATTGGGGTAGGGTGGGGGGCCAAGGCGGACAGCGGGCGGCAGGCGGGCCATACTTGCCAAGCTCCTCGAAGAGCTGGTAGTCGTCGGTGAAGCGAGTGCAGGTGGCGGTGGTGGCCATGCTGGCTGGCGGGCGGGCGGGCGGACGCGGCGGTGCAGCCCGCGCCGACGTCGGTGCACAGTCACCGCCGCCCGGCCGAGGGAGCAAGAGGAGGAGACGGGGCTGAGCCCGGCAGCACCGCGAGACTTTACCGGGGAGAGCGAGGGAGGGAGGGACACCCCCGCGCCCGCCTGCCCCGCCCCCAGCCCCGCCGGCCCCCCGCCCGGCCCCCGGACCGCCCCCGGGGAGGAGCCTCCCGTCACCGGCCCCGCCCGAACCGGGAGCGGCCGGGGCTGGGCCAGGAGCGTCAGAGAAATGTTTGTGGGGGGGTCCCAGCTCCGGACCACCAGCGCTGGCCGACAGAGCTGAAAGGTTCGCGGTCTATGAGCTAGTCCCGGACCTTGCAAGGGCTCTGAAATATTCGTGCGAGGATGGGTTAGAAGTGGCGTATGGGTCCGGACCATTGAGCTTTCTGGGAGAGTCTCCACACGTGGGTCCCAAACCCCCAGCCCGGCTCTCACCAAGTGGAGAGACGGCCAAGGTCAAGAAGACTGTATCAAACTGCACAAGCTGGAGACATCCACAATCTGTACAGAAGAAGCTGCCGGCAGTCTTCCCTCAGGGAGCTGACAGTCTAGCCTTGTGCAAGTATCATTGCCGTCATTTTTGGGTGGGGGACCCTTCAGGAGTGGTTTCATCAGGGAGATCAGGCCAGAGGCAAAGGATGCAAGTGGCACTCTCACTCAGGCCAGCAATGAAAGGGAAGAAAGGGGAATGATTTGCACAGGCTTTGTGTCTTTGGTGGCTAAAAGATCAAGTAGAAGGAAGAACAAAACATTCCATTTTGTTGTAAGCCATCCTGTACTTTGATTTTATGGCACTTACATATTTTGTAATGATACGTTTTTCTGGTATGAGAGCTAAAACATTATAGAATGAACTCTGGCATCTGACTATCTATCTTGGATTTCTGGGTAACTCAGTAGCCAGCTATATGACCTTGGGCAAGTCACTTCATCTTTCTGTGCCTCAGTTGCCTTGAGAACTGGTAATAAAATACTATCTTCACAGAGTTGTGAGCATTTAATGGGCTAAATCACATAAAGCACTTATAATAGTACCTGGTATCTAATTAAAACTGTTTGCTGTTATTTGTTTAATATTTGCCTTCTCACTAAATTGTAGGCTTCAGTTGGGCAGGGCCTCTGTCTTTTTGTTCACCCTGCATATTCAGTCCCAGACCCTCAGTAAATATTTGTGTAATGGTAAAGGGAGTTACCACCCCTTCCTCAGTACCCAACATCACAGATTGGTAGCACAGAGGCACATAACTGTCTCCATGGAGGAGAAACAGGCTGGGCAGGTTCCTGATCTGCTAAGCAGCTGTACCCCAAGTCAGAGGCCAGCCCCAACTGGGCAGGATGGAGTTCAGCCAACTGCTGCAGCTTAGACTTGATTACAGCAAGAAGCCCACAGGGGAGTCCTGTGTCTATTGTCAGCAAACGGGGAGACAATTGAGAGGTGTCCCAGCCTCCCAAGCAGCCTCGGGGAGGGGTGGGTGGAGCAAAGCTCTCAGGGAATACTCCCCTCCTTTCCTTACCCAATAGCCCAAGGAGTTGCTCTGAGACTGCCCAGTTGAGAAGATTAGGGAATAGAAGGGAATGGAGTCCAAGAGTAAAAGCATTAATTTATTGCCTGGAAGGAGGGCATAAAGGACCAAGGAAAGGGTAGAGGTTAAGAGCACTATGCCCCACCCATCCCCAGGGCAACAGGAAGTAAAGCGGTGGGGGTAAGGCCACTTCCTACCTCAAAGCACCAGGGTGAGAGCCAGGTCCCAAGTCCCAGCGTGGGCAGGCAATGAGAATGTGAACATGGAGATGCCAGTAAGTCTTGAGTTTCTGTCATCCACCTTCAAGGTAAAAGTAACTGCTAGCCTGTGTTCCAGAAATGGAGTCTGCATATCAGTTGATCATCAATGTCCCCTTCCTGGTACTCAAGGCGACTTGGTTCCTGACTTCCAGACGCTGATACTTGAAACTTTATATTCATTCATGTACGGTGGAGAGAGGTCAGAACGAGTACAGACTAGGGCTGTCATGGAGTCCCCTAAGAGTGTCCCAGGGGGAAGTGTAAAAAGAGGACTATAACTAGCCAATCTCCTGTGCCTGCCAGGAGAGGTATATCATCTCCAATGAGGGTGAGGGCTCTACACTGGCTATTTCAAGGTAACCATAAAAAGAACTTTGCATCAAGTCCCTGGGTAAAAGAAAAAATGATAAGAACAATATTGGGGTGAAAACTTGGGAATAACTCACATTACTGTAACTAGCTGCCTTTCAACAAATATTCATCGACTATCTACCATGTCCTTGGTGCTGCCCTTTACTTTTGGAAAAAAACAAATAAAGTGGAAATTTAGAATTTACATAATTAGAAGGAAATCAATCCATTCTCTTTTTCCTTTCTATCTTTACCTCACTTCCCCCTCCCTCCCTCACTACTTTCTCAACAGCACACACTGACGTGTCCATGTGGCACTTTGGAGCCTACAAACTCCTCTGTGTGTGCACACACACACCCTTCTTGATCCCTATTGCTGTAACACCCACAGAACCTCCAGCTACCCCACAGCAATTAGAGGGAAGATACATACAAATAATAACAAGCTCACCAGATCCCTGCGTATCAGTATCTATGGCAACCTCATGGGGTCCTCAAGCTGTGCTCTTCTGGTTGCAGCCAGTCCCCTGGGCAGCACCAGCAATCAAGCTGTGGCAAGCGCTCCAGGAACAGGGAATACTACAGAAAATTGATGCCCTGAATATCACCAGAGATACCCCACTGGTGGGACCCTGGGACCCTCCCTCATTCTGACCTTTGAAGCCCCCCAAAATTATGCCATTTTTTTCTGAATGAGAGCCTTCCCTCTCTAAGTTTAGAATGCAATTTTAGAGTATGAAGGTACTTACTCTTCAGATCTAATAAAAATGGAGCAGTTCAGGGCTGGAGATGTGGCTCAAGCGGTAACTTGCTCGCCTGGCATGCGCGGGGGCCCTGGGTTCGATCCTCAGCACCACATAAAATAAAATTAAGATGTTGTGTCCACCGAAAACTGAAAAATAAATATTAAAAAGATATTCTCTCTCTCTCTCTCTCTCTCTCTCTTTCTCTCTCTGTCTCTCTCTCTCCTCCTAAAAAAAACTGGAGCAGTTCAAAGTGTGGTAGAATAATGTGGGGGAATAATGCCATTAGAAAACAGTTACCCACTTGTTGGGAGAGTTTGTAAAGTCAGTTTGAAGGGAATTCAGTCTTGAGTCCATGAGGGGTTTTCAATCCACATTGCATAGAATCCCTGGGCTTATGTGGCTATGCTCCAGTTGCTGCCCAGCATATCTACAGGGGTTTCGTATAATATTTGGTTGAAGATGAGAATCATTGGCTAAAAAGAATTTTGAAATCCACTGAACTAGTGGCTTCTGAGAACCTCTCCAACTCTAAGATTCTATGACTAGTTTTGGAGAATTAGAGGTGATAAAATCATGACCCCTCTCCATGAAACTCTGAAATATTAGTGATAAGGCATTTGAAACTAGAGATGTGATCATGGGGATAGGAAAGAGTGAGAAAGACAAATAAAAACATTTAAATACGCAATCTCCAAAGAGGGAGTGAGGGATGCCCCTGTCTTATCTGGAAGATGCATTGAAAATGGACTTCTTTAAATCACAGCCATGCACAGAAAACTTGATAGCCTCCATCCTTAGTGAGAACCACTCCCAAACAAGTCACTGTCCATTGTGGGAGTATTTCCCCATCCTTTTCCTAAAAGGGGAAAAAGTACTAAGAACCCAGATTGAATCAATGACCGGCATGTCTTAGAGGAAGAGCTGAAGTATTTGAGGTGAGGAATGCAGCTCCTGAAGACTTGGACAAAGGGAACTGAGATTTTGGAGTGAGAGGCTGAGGCTATGTGGGGTGTGAGTTGAAGCATTGGATGTGAGGAAGTGAGGTGTGTGGAAGTGAGTCTGAGGTACCAGGAATGAAGAGCTGAGCTCAGAAATTCAGTTGAATTGTAAGAACATATAATGTGAGAAGCCAGGGTATTTTGAGTGAGGGTATCTCAGTGGTAGAATGCTTGCCTATCATTCTTGAGGTGAAACCCATTTTCCAGCCAAGAGGGCTGGTTCCAAAGGGCAATCTGATCTTGTCATTCCCACCCCACAAGTCCAAGTTAGAACTCCCTCTGCCTCTATTCGGTCATTCCCTTATAGATAGGTGCTCCTTGAAGGCAGGACGTATCGAACGCTACCTTCCCTCCTCCACTACCTCTTTTTTAAGTACTGGGAATTGAACCAGGGATTCTGTACCATTGAGCTATATCTGCAATCCTTTTTATCTTGAGACTGTATCTTGCTTAGTTGGTGGGGCTGGTCTTGAATTTACAATCTTCCTGCCTCAGCCTACCTAGTCTCTGGGATAACAGGCGTGCGTCACTGCACCTCGCTTAATCTTTCCCCTTATAACCTCAACACCTGCCATAAAGCCTTGCATAGAGTAGGCACTCAATAAATATTTGTAGAATGAATGAAGTATTGGGGGCATTAGGATGAGATATTTGGAGTGAAGAGGTGGAAGATCAGGCGGACGGGTGGGGAGAGGTGACAGAGCTGTCATAGAGGCAAAAGGGAAGGGTTGAGTTCTGGGAACTGGCTGTCAGCACCAGTCAGGCAGGAAGAATGGCATGTGGGGCCCCCTGGTGGGCAGACTTGAGGTGCTTTGGGAACTTTAAGGGAGGGACAGGAGTGGGAACCAGCATGAATGACAAAGGGAGGTGTGGTGAAGATGACTATAACCATCAGGATAGCTAACACACTGGGAGAGCTTGCTACTTATACAGCCTGTGCACTAAGCCCTCTGCATCAACTATTCCTTTCAACCCTTGCCACCATTCTGTGAGTAAAGGAGCTATCCGCCTCATTTTACAGAGGGGAAAACAGAAGCTGAGAAAGGTGAAATAACTTATCTCACCGCAAATAGCTACTAGGAAGTGGAACTGAGATAAT